CTTCACAAGCCATGAGGCAAGCTTAAGCAGCACAAGCGCCGAGAAGGGACTGGAACCCGCGGTATATCGGCGGATGTCAGCGGTGGTTCCTTGGCCGCCTTGGCCCTGTATGGCAGTACCTATGAAGGACTTCTCTTTCATTCCTGTTATCCATAGCACAGGTGGTGAGTGGACTGTTACAGGACATTAGATATATGGTCCTCTGTGATCTATATGACCTATATATCTTCTATAGAGTGTTAGCTCTGTCAGTGACTTCCCACACATTGTTTGTTTCACTACAGGATGGGGACATCATGGTGCGCTGTATAGGATACAAGATATACCATCATATATATTTCAACAGGCAGAAGAGTCTTTGGGATGTGTCTTGTTTTTTCCTACAAAAGTGGTGTATAGTCCACATATAGTGGTGAAGAAACCATTTCAAGCAGAGTGCTGCTTTTTGCATCTTTTCCTCCATCCTGGAAATAAATGGGGCATATTCCCATCCAAGAGCTCTAGGAAACAGCTATCTATATTACAGATGAATGGGCCCCAACCACTTGTGCCGGCACAGGAATATATTGTATAATATATTTGACATTTATGTCTTCCTTCATACAGGCCTGAGGCCTGCTATTCTCCTTTTTGACGCATATTGTGCTTGCTTTATTGTATACATGTGACATACATATATCTAGTATAATTTTTGGATTCCTTGATTGGGATTTGCCTATATGGTTACTGCTTAAATCCCTTATATCCTTCTTTATGGTATGCCCATGGCATAATTTTTGGATACACCTCCCTAGGGAAGTGTTCACTTGTGTGTTTGTGCTACAGGGACACTAGACTCTTGTAGCCATTTTCCCTGCTGCACATACATGTAGACCGGTTCTGGTGTCATTTTAAATGGTTTTAGGTCTGTGTGTATTGTCTCAACTGAGGTGATGGTAAACCAGGGCGAAAGCCCATATGTCATATTTTTATATGTGTAATAAAGCATAATTTTTGGAAATTTCTTCCTGTGTGTCACGTTCTGTTCATTATGTAGCCGCTTTTCTGTGAATCTCTTTTCACAAAACCCCCCTTTTTTGTATGCCTCTTTTGGCTACTGAATGGAGACCATACATTGGGTGACACGCTAATTTATTCAATAACCTCTTAAATAACTATCTTAATATATGCATCTCATGGGGCCCCCTACCGACCCCGGGCCCTCGGGCAGTGCCCGAGTTTCTAAATGGTCAGTCCGCCCCTGGATCCGATTACATATTCAGCCAATGCAGTTGATGTGAAAGTTGAAGCTGTTATAGCTGCAAAGGGTGGACCAGCTCAATACTGAACCCTACGGACTAAAGGTGGGAATACATGATTAGAAAATCGCATAAAACAAAAATAGAGTCAGTGAGCGCTTTAAAACTAGCCGCTGAAGCACATAAAGGAAACCAAGTAAAACCTCCTAAAAACTGATAATAACAAAGTGCAGCGCTAAAATAATAAATAATGAACAGCAAATAATATAAATGGTGTGACAGTGCGTGGTAAAGTGCTTGGTACAGGAGCTGATAGTGACTTCAAACTTCAGTGGCATGTCAGAAGTATGGTAAAAATACGCACTCACCAGATGCGTATTTTAAATACGCATGTAAACTAATATAGCCAGAGGTCCCCTCTCAGGATGGGATGGATGGGATATGCCGTTTACAGACTCTCCTCCCTCTGGGTGGTACACAGCTTTAAAGATGTCTTCCTTGGTGGGTGCAGATAGTGTCCAGCCAGAGGCCTCCTTGATGGATGGATGCTTGTCAATCAATATTAATGGAATATGCATGACCGCGCAATTGTCAGTTGAAGTAACGCAGCGCCGTATTGTAAAAAATGGCCTGGTCAGGACGGGGGGGGGGGGGGGGGGGGGGGAATCCTCATGAGGGTAAGTGTTAAATCCCCTTTCTTCCCCATTCTGATGCTCAGCTTGAACTTCAGCAAGTTGTCTTCACCGCGTCTTGATGCGTAAATGCATTGAGTTGCTGCCATGTGATTGGCTGATTAACAATTGGTGTTACCGAGCAATTGGACAGGTGGACCTAATAAAGTGGGCGGGGAGTGGGTGTATGTTAGTTGAGGTTTGTACCTTTTAGTACGGCCCAGAGACAAAAATACACCGACGTTGGTACTAATTAAAAAAAAAAAAATTTATATCCTGCCCCCCAAAAAATTCTGACCCTGACCCTGACCCAAACACTAATCCTGGCACTGAGCTAGATCTAACCTTGATCTAGGTATTTGTTTTATTTTTTTATTATTGTTTTGATTATTTTTTACACCCAGTTGTTTTTTCTCTGCAAGGAGAGAGAGATACAATGCATCTCTTTCCTCCATTCAGAGCGAGAAAGCACACGCGGGACTGATCACTGTGACAGCCAATCAGAGGCTATCACAGCAATCAGGTGACCCGGGGCTCTCGGTGAGACTCCAGTCTCTGCGCTTTTTTCTCTCTTCCTTTTTGAATTTGCAGTCGTCCTCTGGCCCCGCCCACTTTTCTGCCGTCCCATGAGGAGTGGCCCACACCGGGTGACACCGACCGCACAGGGTGACACCGAACCCGCTCCACGAAAAGGTAAGTTGTAAAGAAAGCTGACGATCCCCGCAGGATGGATCGGATCTGCGGATTGGGAAGCATAATGGATCAGACTCCGATCCTTTATGCTCAATCCGCAGATCTGAACCCTCCTGCGGGGATCATCGAAGGGGGTGTAGCCAATCAGAGGCTATCACAGCAATCAGGTGACCTGGAATTGGAAGTTCTGGGTCCCGATCGTTAGTACGGGGCCCGGGCCTCTCGGTGAGACTCCAGTCTCTCTGCTTTTTTCTCTCTTCCTTTTTGAATTTGCAGTCACCCTCTGGCCCCACCCACTTTTCTGCCATCCCATAAGCAGTGGCCCACACCGGGTGACACCAACCGCACAGGGTGACAATGCTCCATGAAAAGGTAAGCTGTAAAGCAAGCCGACGATCCCCGCAGGATGGATCGGATCTGCGGATTGGGGAGCGGATTGGGGAGCACAATGGATCAGACTCTGATCCATTATGCTCAATCCGCAGATCCGAACCATCCTGCGGGGATCGTCGGCTCGCTTTACAACTTACCTTTTTGTGGAGCGGGTCCGGTGTCACCCCGTATAGGTTGCATGCCGACGATTCCCGCAGGATGGATGGGATCTGCGGATTGTTGAGCATAATGGATCGCACTCCGATCCATTATGCTCAAACCACAGATCTGATCCATCTTGCGGCGATTGTCTCCATGCAACGTATACGGGCTGACACCGGACCCGCTCCACAAAAAGGTAAGTTGTAAAGAAAGCCGATGATCCCCGCAGGATGGTTCGGATCTGCGGATTGAGCATAATGGATCAGAGTCTGATCCATTGTGCTCCCCAATCCACAGATCCGATCCATTCTGCGGGGATCGTCAGAGGGGGTGTCACCAGGTGTTATCGCACCGGGTGACACCAACTCTAGGGACGGCCTCTGACCATGAGCATACCTGGGACCCTGGAACGGGAATGCCGGCTTTTCGCTTTTCTTACAGAATCGTTACTGGCCCAGGCAATGTAAACGAAACCCAAGTCATTCATTCAGAGTGATGGAAGGTGGGGGTCATTCTACGGCTACACCGTCACCTCTGCATAGTGAATGACCCATTTATACACCAGGAGGAGATGGAAACAAAACCAAAGGGGTCAATTTATAAAAAAAAGTAAAAAAAGTCAATCATTCGCACAACCATCACAAATCTTCACCATTCCCTTTAATACATTTATTTCCCAGGATCATCAGTGCCATCTAGTGGAAATAATGTGGTATTTTCCTTTGTATTTCAGGTATATACCACATTATGGCCACTAGGTGGAGCTGATGATCCTAGGAAATAAACATATTAAGCTAGTTAAGGTGAAGCTTGGTGAGAGTTCGAACTCTTGATACATCCGCACAGTGAATGTTTTATACAGACCCCAAAGTGTTGCACAGTACTGGACTCCAGTGCTATCAATGCCCCCTCTACTCGCTATTCTATGGCTCAATCACTATAAAACGTTTCCAGGTTGGTTAGAGACTGCAGACATGATACAAGAGATGGTCAGAGACTGCAGGCATGATACAAGAGATGGTCAGAGACTGCAGACATGGCACAAGAGATGGTCAGAGACTGCAGACATGGCACAAGAGATGGTCAGAGACTGCAGACATGATACAAGACATGGTCAGATACTGCAGACATGATACAGGAGATGGTCAGAGACTGCAGACATGATACAAGAGATGGTCAGAGACTACAGACATGATACAGGAGATGGTCAGAGACTGCAGACATGATACAAGAGATGGTCAGAGACAGCAGACAGGATACAAGAGATGGTCAGAGACTGCAGACATGATACAAGAGATGGTCAGAGACTGCAGACATGATACAAGAGATGGTCAGAGACTGGGGACATACTACAGGAGATGGTCAGAGACTGCAGACAGGATACAGGAGATGGTCAGAGACTGGGGACATACTACAGGAGATTGTCAGAGACTGCAGACAGGATACAGGAGATGTTCAGAGACTGCGGACAGGATACAGGAGATGGTCAGAGACTGCAGACAGGATACAAGACATGGTCAGAGACTGCAGACACGATACAAGAGATGGTCAGAGACTGTATACATGATACAAGAGATGGTCAGAGACTGCAGACATGATACAAGAGATGGTCAGAGACTGCAGACATGATACAGGAGATGGTCAGAGACTGCAGACATACTACAGGAGATGGTCAGAGACTGCAGACAGGATACAGGAGATGGTCAGAGACTGCAGACATGATACAGGAGATGGTCAGAGACTGCAGACAGGATAAAAGAGATGGTCAGGGACTGTGACATGTTATAGGAGTGGTTGGAGACTGAGACAGGAAAATAGGGAAAAAAAGATTAGTGTCTGCACAAAAAATGCCAAAGGGCCACAGGTTGGGCAGTAAGGGACTAGATGATGTTGGATGTCCTCCAGCCAATAAAATGAGGCAGACCTCTATCTGACTTGCTGCAGCTTCTAATGCACATTGTGAGAAGCTCAGAGTGTGCAGTGAAATCAGAGGAAGCCGTTTCAGTCCCAGAGAGGAGATGGACTAAGACTGGAGGGGAGGAGCCGGTACACCTGTGCAAGACTGGAGGGGAGGAGCCAGTACACTTGTACAGGACTGGAGGGGAGGAGCCGGTACACCTGTACAAGATTGGGGGGGAGGAGCCGCTACACCTGTACAAGACTGAAGGGGAGGAGCCGGTACACCTGTACAAGACTGGAGGGGAGGAGCCAGTACACTTGCACAGGACTGGAGGGGAGGAGCCGGTACACCTGTACAAGATTGGGGGGGAGGAGCCGCTACACCTGTACAAGACTGAAGGGGAGGAGCCGGTACACCTGTACAAGACTGAAGGGGAGGAGCCGGTACACCTGTACAAGACTGAAGGGGAGGAGCCGGGTACACCTGTACAAGACTGGAGGGGCGGCCGGAGGGAGGATTTAAGGTGAACTTACCCTTCAAAAATCAAATGCCATAACTTCCAACCAGCCAATCACCTTTCACCTTTCTGTCTTCTATACACAGCTGGAGGAAGAAGTTGCGTTCTCTGCAGATCCTGGCAGGTTACATCGACATGGAGTACGCCTGGATCACGTATCCTCTCATTTCCCGCAGGCGTCCGTCTGCAGCGGACTTTCAGATTGCGAGTCGTCATCGCAGACACAGATTTGTAATGTAATCTGGAGGAGCCCCCGGGGGGGGGGGGGGTATACAGAGAGAACCATCTGTGTGTATAGGATGATATTGTGCCATCGGTCAGAAGTATCGGGTTCTCATTCCGCCCTCCCCGACCCAGACAAATATTGGCTACAAAATTGCGCCTCTGTCACCGTCACATCCAATACCTGGGGTTAGGGTTACACTTCTGCATGGAAAGGTGCAGCACATTAAGGCTGAACATTCACATCAATGGGTGACAATGCGCCAAAACATTCCAGAAACGCACGAGCGACATCCTGGGTAATGCGGCACACCACAACGCAAGGTGGTGCATTACAGTGCATTGTGGTGGCCTGCAACGCATGTACATTGGAAGTGCATTGCCCTAGTGCAGGGGTAGGCAACCAGAGAGCCGCAGGACTACAAGTTCCATCATGCCTCTGCAAGTCATAGCTGTAACTGTCAGTTTTGAGTAATCTTTGCAATGCCTCATGGGAAATGTAGTTCCACAACAGCTAGAGATCCGCAGGTTCCCTACCCCTGGTCTAGGCGATATGTGACCGAGCGCACACACGTCCCCAAGCATCACATATAGGACTTGTTCATTTTTCCTGGGTTGCTCTATGAACTCCAGGGAGATAGAAAAGATGAGCAAGGGTGGACTGACCATTTGGAAACTCGGGCACTGCCCGAGGGCCCGGGGTCAGTAGGGGGCCCCATGAGATGCTCCTTGTACCTTTTTCATAGGCTTTTTTGAGTTTGTGCAAGGACACAGGGGCCCCATGATCCCCTATTGCCCAGGACGGGGGGCCCCATGAGTTGTCAGTCCGCCCCTGGTATACTGTACATCATTACATACATGCATCTGACTTGGTGTGGTACGCTTGGTATGGTACCAGCCTCTTGCGATTCCCTGTACAGCAGAACTGAGACCCGGAGAAGCAGCAGAAGGAGCCAATCAGTTGTGCTGCTCAGGTGTTAACAAGGAACATGCTGATAGGAGGAGACATCAGCATCGCATTCTGACACTGGAGAAAACTGACTTGGTGTCACAGACATCCCCAGTGACACCAATACAGTGATCAGTGCTAATAAAAAGCACTGACACTGTACTAATGGCACTGGGCAGGAAGGGGTTAACATGTGGGGGCGATCAAAAGGGTTAACTGTGTGGATGTTTCATTATGTGGGCTGTGTGTGAGCTTCACTGTAAGCACACTGCTTTGTATGGCTCTGCTATGCAGAGCCATACAAGCAGTGTGCAGGAGCTGACAGGGGAGAGATCTGTTGTTGTTTATACACTGGTCTCTCCCCCATCGGAGATACTCAGTGATCACCGGGTGCCAGCGAAAAAAAATCACCGGCTTGGACCCGAAAAAAAAAATCCCAATACGTGTAAATTTATTGGTTTACAATGAAAGTTATAGCGTTTACAAATGGCGGGAAAAATACTGGGATTTTTTTTTCTACTAGCAATGGTGGCGATCAGCGACTTAGAGCGGGACTGTGGCAGACATTCTGACACTGGGGGGGAACTAAATTGGTGTCCCCAGTGACACCAATACAGGGATCAGTGCTAAAGAAAAGCACTGACACTGTACTAATGGCACTGGGCAGGAAGGGATTAACAATGACGGGCGATCAAAGGGTTAACTGTGTGCTGGGACAGTTTTGCTCAGGCGCCGTGGCTGTGTGATGCTTCACTGTAAGCACACTGCTCTGGATGGCTGTGCTGTGCACAACCATCCAGAGCAGTGTGCCCGAGCTGACAAGGAGGAGGACTGTTTGTAAACAAAACAGTCCTCCTCCCTGTCAGAGATGCTCGGTAATCACCAGGCGCTGATGGGTAATCACCGGCCGGGACCTGTTGATTGACAGCCACGACTGCGAATGGTGGCAAAGGTAGGGCGCGAGCATGTGGCTCACACGCCCCCTACCCGGAAACAGCAAAAATAAGTATTTATTTATATACGTGTACGGATAGTAAAACGTATGCCGTTAGTCGCCGTTTGCACAAGTGTGCGCAATTTTAAAGAGTGACATATTTGGTATCTATTTATTCGGCGCAACATCATCTTTTATATTGAACAAAAAAATTGGGTTATGTGTTTTTTTTGGGGTTTTTTTGCACGAACATTCAAAAAAGTAACCTTTCCTAAAAAGACTGCACTTGAAAAACCACTGCGCAAATACTGTGCGACATAAAAAAAAAAATTAAAAACCCAAAAATTCATTTTTATGCCCTAGGTTCACATCTGTGCGGGTGCTGCAGCGGATCCGCATGAAAATCTGTGCAGCCGCACCACCCGCACAGAGGAATGCGGACCCGCGGGGGGGTGCCATTAGTTCTAATGGCACACCACCCACACTGGAGAATGCAGTTGTACTGGGAACCTCTCAGCTGCGTTTTCCAAAGAAGTGAAGGGACTTTTCCTGCGTGTCACGGCATGGGAGTCCATTCAAAATGAATGGGCTCTTGCAGGGGCAGACTGACAACTCATGGGGCCCCAGGGCAATAGGGGATCATGGGGCCCCTGTGTCCTCGCTCACACCGAAACCACACCCAAAAAAGCCTATGAAAGGTACAAAGGGGCATCTCATGGGGCCCCCTACTGACCCCGGGCCCTCGGGCAATGGCCCGAGTGCTCGAATGGTCAGTCCGCCCCTGGGCTTTTGTGCCTGCGCAAAATGCGGCCCGTTATATGTGTACCGGGTGAGGGCCTCTGCTTTAAAAAAAACGGTTTCTAGCAAAAAATTTCTGAGTGTATCACGTAAACAAAAAGTGCCAAAATTGGTTTGGTCTCATAAAGGTTTTTGTACCCAGATGATCTGATACTGACTTTAGCACAACTGCAGCACTTGCTGGATTGTATTCGCTCTTCACTCTCTAATGGCGTTCTTAAGATTTTCCCTTTGAAATGGAGAATAGAAGCTCCTTGGTAGGTGGGGGGTGAGTGGGACCGATGGACGCTTGGGCTCTCCTGGGTGTGTGAACGCAGCACTCTGTACTCGTACTGTCACCTCTCCCACTTTATCTCCCATCTACACTCATCACTAGTCACCTGAGCCATGCGAAACTGGTTATTGACAGGGAGGGCTGTGCTGAGACAAGACACAGCGAAAACTATTGTTTTCTATGCTAATGGAATCATTGATGATGTGGGAAACAACAACAAATCCACATTCACAGGGTCCCCCCCCCCCCCATGCCCTGCCCCTGCAGCAGGTGTCCTCTACAGTCCGTGACATCATTCCATGGGGGTAAAAATCACCGAATACACCTTCTCTTATCATATGGATTGTATCGTGAGAGACACCGAACTCCGCAGTGATACATTCAAGCCATCAGCCAAGCTGGCCTCGGACCTCAACTAGGGGATCTAATTCCTTCCCAGTTCTGGCCCCATTCACCTCTGCATGTTCCAGGATGTCAGGTATCTAAATGTTCCCGAAACGCGCTGAAAATGCACGGTGTCACTACAGTGCCATTAATTGTTAATGACACCCCAAATGTGTAAACACTTGTTGTGTCAAACATGTCAAAACCCAAGCGGTAAAAAAAGCCGGTGTGGGAACACAACGAATCCACATTCACAGGGTCCCCCCCCCTGCAGCACGTGTCCTCTACAGTCCGTCATATCATTCGATGGGGCAAAAATCACCGAATACACCTTCTCTTGTCATATGGATTGTATTGTGAGAGACACCGAACTCCGCAGTGATACATTCAAGCCATCAGCCAAGCTGGGCCGGCCCTCAACTAGCGGATCTAATTCCTTCCCAGTTCTGGTCCCATTCACCTCTGCATGTTCCAGGATGGCACGTTTCTAAATGTTCCCGAAATGCGCTGAAAATGCATGGAGCCACTACGGTGGCATTGATTGTTAATGACACCCCAAATGTGGAAACGCTTGTCGTGTCAAACATATCAAAACAAACGGTAAAAAAGCCGGTGTGGGAAACAACAAATCCACATTCACAGGGTCCCCCCCCTGCAGCAGGTGTCCTCTACAGTCCGCCATATCATTCAATGGGGCAAAAATCACTGAATACACCTTCTCTTGTCATATAGATTGTATTGTGAGAGACACCGAACTCCGCAGTGATACATTCAAGCCATCAGCCAAAGCTGGCCGGCCCTCAACTAGCAGATCTAATTCCTTCCCAGTTCTGGTCCCATTCACCTCTGCATGTTCCAGGATGTCAGGTATCTAAATGTTCCCGGGAATGCGCTGAAAATGCACGGAGCCACTGTGGTGCCATTGATTGTTAATGACACCCCAAATGCGGAAACGCTTGACATGTCAAAACATGTCAAAACAAGTGGTAAAAAAGCCGGTGTGGGAAACAACAACAAATCCAAATTCACAGGGTTCCCCCCCCCCCCCCCCCCCCCCGCCGCTGCAAGCAGGTGTCCTCTACAGTCCGTCACATCATTTGATGGGGCAAAAATCACCAAATACACCTTCTCTTATCATATAGATTGTATTGTGAGAGACATCGAACTCCGCAGTGATACGTCCAAACATCAGCCAAGCTGGCCGGCCCTCAACTAGCAGATCTATTTCCTTCCCAGTTCTGGCCCCCATTCACCTCTGGATGTTCCAGGATGGCACGTTTCTAAATGTTCCCGGAATGCGCTGAAAATGCACGGACTGTGGTGCCATTGATTGTTAATGACACCCCAAATGCAGAAACGCTTGTCAAACATGTAAAGAAAAAAAA